TGCAGTCCACACTTTTCACTCTATTAATTTTGTTGAGTGTCACTCACAAATACGCTTCTACACAGTATGAAAATGAATATCTTGTTAGCCTGACGTAGCCCAACTTAGATGTTAAGAACTATCAAATCTGCACCTATGTCCCTTACATCAGTCAAAGTGCCGGTGTTCTTGAATAATCTGCAGGATTTGTAAGTTTTGATTGCTGACTAAGCCCGGTTGGTAGACTGTGCAATAAGTTGTGTTAATTTCAGGCCAACAACCCTGCCGCCACACAATCAGATAAATTTAGGATCGCCATTTATTGTCGCACCGGTTTGAGCCCTGTGATCGCGTCTAAGTCGTCCATTTTAGATATCCCACATATTGAAAATTTATTGGGCCTATCTATCACGCAGGGGTCACAATTTATGACGACCTCTGCCTATTTCGAGAGCCTTATCGATTAGGCGCTAAGGAGAGAGGATCTGGATGATCGTCTGTCGTAGTATAGCAGTTAATATTCTACACTGATACGAAAACCTTATGCCCAAGCAAATCACCTGAAACATTGGTCGCAAGAATGGTAAAACGCAGTCGGAGATCGCTGCCATGACATATTCAAGGTGATTTGATTTGGCCAAGAGTCAAGAATCAAGACAATCGAAGCGAGAATGAGTCAGGATCAAGTTTAACTGGACGATAGCGACGCGCCCTGCAGATAACCGTGGATCATAGTAACGACTCTTCATTGGGCATAGACAAGTGAAGAACGACTCGAGGGTTGAAGTATTATTTATTTGCTATTAAAATGTTTGATAACTCCCGCGGAACTGCACAACTTAGGAACTTGAGGCAAAACTATGTCTAATACTGATGCTATTGTACCATAAACATCAAGGGCGAACGTTGGAACTTTGCGAATTCCTGATTAGATAACGTCATCCACCGGAAAACGAGATCCCTGGTCTAACAACACAAAGCAGTGAACAGTTGCTCATTAATCTAAAAGTGATCTTGACTTGAATTTCGGTGGAGATGGCATGAGGGGTAAAAAAGGCTGGGCCGTGTAATTCGAAGCCCCGAACCAAGCTTATTATTTCCTTTTCAATTCTCTGAGTACATGCAAAATCTATTCTTTACATAGGTTTTAACTTTGAATTACGCATTACGTGGCCTTACCGAACCCAGGAAAACATCGATACACTTGTAGATAGGCATAATAAGTAGCAGGTAGTCCTCTAACTGTTAGCAAAATAATGCTATTAATTTATAAGTCAAGAACCAGAAACTTTTGTTACCCATGTGCTTTTCGGTAAATGTTAATATTGTAAATTACTTCAAGACGATACGTGCAGGTAACATGCGGGTCTGGATTATTGACTTGTGGCGGGCCCCCGTGCGATTTTGGGAACCACGCCAGTTTCGACGATCTGCGCTGACATGGCCCGTAGCTCAACTAATCTATTATGGCAGTAATGGTGTGTGTCGGTGTACAAGATAGCAATTCAGTTTACATAGAATGGGCTAAACACCAATCCCAGAACAAACACAATTACGTGAAGTGCATTCACGTAGACCAATTGAATCACGTTGGCTCACGCTTGCTGCCTGCCGCAGGCTAATATGGGGTCAGGGTTTGATGTCAGTGCACTGATTAAGAGTTTTAATTAAGAGTTTCCTCTGATGGTTTGTGGAGACTTGCAGATGATGGAATTAAATCGAAAGTTGATGTTTGCGAACTGCAGTCAGTACGACCCAGGATTTCGTGATGGTGCACACTTAGATTAAAAGACGTCATGCACTTAGCCGGCACCGTTTTTCCGCTGTTGTGTTCAAGTCTCTATGGAATCTGTTTGGTGTCTTTCTTCTTCAAAACTGTATGAAGAGTAATAGTAGGTCGTCAGTTAGTGTGGCTGTTTCCGATCAAATTACTAAACACAGTAGAGAATTTGATGTTCGTAGGAGGTGATTGAAACCCGGAAAGTGGAGTGCTCTGTTTATAAGGCGAGATTCAATCACTCGGGAAATTTGCACTGACGTATGACCCGCACTATAGATCTTTTATCATAGGATGTGGCCCAATTATACTCCGTGACATTTATGTAGTGGGCCCACTTGAGGTTTGCTGTGTCAGTTTTGTGCTTCCTTGAATGAAACACTTATTGCCCAACTTTCGATGATAGTGGTTCAAATATTGGGGTCAAGGACACCTCATTTATTAATACGGGCCCCATATACTTACTCAGAATGTAAGTATATGGATTCGCCATGAATAATCCTCAGAAAATTCACCAGACCGGAACCCTTCAGAAATGTCTGGATTTGGTAGATAATCGTCCAAATTGGGAATGGGTTGGAAGACATTTCACTAAGCATGCACAGCTAGTCCATGAAATTTGACTTCGCCCAAAGCTCAAAAATTCTTTAATAATGTGGAGTTCGCACGAAGACATGGTTATTCGTAATTACCTCAACATCGCACGCATGTTGCTTGAAATGGACCTTTCGATTAGAATGCTGATATTGGCACCAAGTTTGCAACATGATTAATTCTTAAGAAACTTGACCAGATATCTCTTGGTGAAAATTTGTCCACTTTCGTCGGAAAAAGATTGCGGAAGTATTGATAAATATCTTACCGCACGATTTTCTCTCGGCCACCTTAAAGAATTTCACCGCGTGTTCAAAAAAGAATCGCCAGTTTTCGCAGGGCAGCATGTGTTCCACACGCTTACTCACAAGGCTGGGCATCGGCTGTCAGTGACTGCGAAACAGGTGTTTTACGTGGTACAAGTGGTCTAATTTAGCCAAAAATTTGATTTACGGCATGCCCAATAATTACTTTTGTGAACAAAACAGATCACTTTATGCATTCGCCTTGGGATTGTAAATCGAAAAAAATAATAAAAATGTGCTCACTTACTCTTAACAATAATTGTGGAATTCTTGTTGCAAAACACACGTTTTGCCATCTAGGATACTATTTAAAAAAAAACTACGTGTAGCAAGCAACGAATAATCAAACTGTAGCAGCGTCTTTCTGTGCCGCGAGGTATGTAGTGGTGAGACTGTGAGCGATTTCAATTAACAGTTTTAGCTCCAGGTCTTGAAATTAAGGAAGTAGAAGAATTGGATTTTAGTGACAGAAATAAGCATGAAGTGCCCTAACTAAGTACCACACGCGAGATCTCTTATTTAATAATTAGTGATTCCCCTTTGAAATTAAATGCTCCTAAATAGACGCATTCAACCAAGGCTCCCTGAGAGCTTTTCAGGTGAATACTTTGACAATCAAACAGGACCTCAGCTTACTAGGGGTAGTCTTTGCAGTTTTGTAGGGGGGCTTGACTAATTAACAAATGTTTTTCCAGTTAAATTCTTTCCGAAGAAAACGAAAGAACCCAAATTGACGTCAGACCCCCAGAATAAATAAGCTGAACTACCAAGTAAAAAGGGCCCACCGGAGAAAGCATAGAAATCTGCTATGTGAAAGGCTTTCCAGGGTGCTGGTGGCGTCGTCAGGTAACAAACCAGAACCTCTGTGCTTTGCTTCGAACAGACGCACTGACGGATTTCGCTAACAGCTTAACATAACTCCGTCGTAAGGTAAATGCGGTCAGCATTGCATGCAGTGTGATCTGCCTTCTGCTATTCACAAGTTCACTGAACAAAATCTGACGTTGCTGTCATGTGCATTTGCTTTGATTCTGGCTGAGCATTTTCAAAAGGAAGCCCAGTACGTATTAGGTTTCGAATATGCAATTTCAACTAATTTTTTTTTCAATTATATTTAAAAACCCGAAAGAAGCACTCCCTTGTAATACAATATAGCATGAATTTTTAGCCTAACTGTCAGAGATTAATGCTGCATGTTCAGGGCTTAATTCTTGCTTCAGGTTTCTTTTGAGAAAAAGTAAATTAGGGCCTGGGACGAGGAAGTTGCAGGCAAAGTCTGTTTGTTGAATTAAACGAAAACTGGGGAACATTTATTTGCATATGCATTTAGGCCTTAAGAAGCCGTTATGATGAAAATTGTCACTGCCATTTTCCTACGTCTTAGGATAATTAGGATATACTAATCACCTTTATTAATTGTCCTTGATTAATTTGACAAAGAATTCTGCCTAAACACTCGGCGACTTGAAGACGGACAGAGGAATTAACACAAGTGAAAGCAATTACTTCTGTTTCAGCTGAATGCTTTTGGTTTCGATTTATGGGGTATGAAGGCTGAAATTTTGACATACAGAACCTCGGCTTTGGTCTTAAGTGGAGATTCCTGGGCGCACTGGAATTTGTTTATGATTGTGTCACTTGTTTACCATTTGTACCACTTATTTATCGATATTACAGCTAGTAGCCTTTATTCCAATCTCGGCACTCCCAAGTCTCACCACTAAGAAACTGTTTTAGGAAGCTGTTTGGCATGCAGCGTGATTTATTAACTCCCGGTAAAGGGAGGTGGAGGTGTAAGGAGAGGCCTGTCTTTGTGCGTAAAACACCGGTCACAACGTTTCGTTTGTTACGTGCTCTCTACCACCTGGCTTGAAAAATTCGTGGATGTACTAAATGGGGATGAACTCTTTAAATCCGGCAATCTATTCCGCTTCCTCTGGTTAATTTTATGAAGACAAGAACACTAGATTTACCTGACAATTTAGCTGGCTAGAAAAAAAATAACACCTTCGCGTTTTATTATGAGAATTAATGTCGTGCTTTTTGCTGTAAACACCAAACTCGTCGCTAGGGTGGTCCTTCTGCAAGGAAAGATTCAAAGTTTGACTTGATTCTCACACTACACAGACAGGAATTTTAGTGCGGTTAAACGAATGGACAGTTATGTGATAGGATTTTATCTAACTTCATTTCATCGCCAAAATCAGTTCAAGAACTTGACTAGATAAAGTGGAAACTTTAGCCACGAGTTATAGGTGTTGAGTTACATACTTGTGCCAATTATTCCCTATCGGACTAAGTGGCATAGCTTAAAATAAAGAATTATTTTCACGAACATGACGCCGTCAAGTTGCACCGCACCGGTATTGTGGAGCTCCCGTGACAGCCGCCGACCCGAGTGGTGAGACGTCTGCCGGGAACATGAAAGACGGGAAGAAGCGGCTGCAGCCACACACCCGTCCACTCCCGACGCCGCCCATTTTCAAACACCCTCGCACACGAATCACTCTAGTTTTAACGAGGTACACCACGTTGACTGTCTCGTCCCAACCCATCGGCGATTACAGCTACAGCGGTGACAGTAACTGCATCATTTAGATGATGCACTAAGAGGCCTCTCTGTCTTTTCTCGGTTTTCAAGTTCGCACAAGAATCGGAACCACCTTACAGCTCAGGTCCTCCCTACCACACCTTCTGTGGGGTGAATTTTTTTTTTGAGTTAAAGTCAATTAATAGTAGTTCGCTAACACGGCGTTAAAAAAAAGTTAAATAATTGGACTGAAGAAGCGCTCATTACATTAGTCGAGACGGCGATACTTTTACTGTCGCTTATATTTATAAAGTGTCTACACGGGATTTATTAATTTTTACTGGCTTCCAATGCTAGCTTATTAAAATACATTTTTCTACGACTAGGAGATAAAAGGCTGAGCTGGTGCAGGACGCTGCACAATAACCTCGTAGCTTAGGAGTGGCTCACGGGAAAACATTATGTGCATTTACAAATGCCGAAATTTGCCTTTAGACCCTCATGTTTTGGTTGATAATGGGGTCGAAGTTCAATCGTCCGTGGCCTTTTTTGGTGCTCGATGGTTCATCAGTGGTTGAGTGGTCGTCTTGTTAAGCCAGCATGTTTCTGGTAGTTTGTCCAGTATACCCCTGGGTACCAAAGTCTAAAATTCAAGGCGATGTCTACAATGGCATCAACTAGTAATTGTTGATAGGTCGTCGACTCATCCGGCCTGAGTCACACAAATGGTCCAGTTAACTTCAGCCCCGTTTTAGGTAAATACTCTAAATGCAAGTGATGGGAACTGTTAAGTTGTAGGTTAAAAATGATGCCTTCCTTCCAAAGAGTGGCCACAACCACGGCCACCGATGCTTTACGCAAACTAGTTCGCTGACAGGAGTCTTAGCATCATCACCACGCGCCCGTACATGCACGGGGGTCGACTCCTGCGAGGGGAGCTAATTTAATCTTCCCCCGAGGGTTTCGCCCGAAAATGGGGGGCTCCCGTCAATTTGCCACGATGCGTGTGTGTGTACTGAGTGCCCATGTGGCCAGCCTCCAAGTCAGGGCGGTCACGTGCCTCTGAGATTTAAAGTGGGCCAGGTGTCTGTACGCATCTGTACGCCCTTTCCGCTAACGCGAAAACGCGCGGCGCATCTGTGCACGTGTGAATAAGTCATCGCCCACACGTGACGCATCAGCTCGCCTGCCCTAGTGTGTGTGTGTAGCCGGAGCTACGCAGATGGGTCGAAGGGGAAAGGAGGGCGAACAAAGCAAGTGGGCGATTGGGGCCCGTCGGGCGTGCCATGTGTGCTGAGTTTCACGGAAGTGGGATTCAGCCCAAGTGGAATGTTGTCCCTGGGCGTGGCATGAAAACTGCCATTCCACTACAGAACTCACCGATGCTCGGGTCATCATTGCAAAGTTGTCTGTTTTTTATTACCGGGACTTAAGATTTTCGTCGGAAAAGCCTTTAATTTTTATGTATCAAGAGCCCAAATAAAAGGCTAAGGTGGGAAATGCCAGTTGTCACCAAGGCGACGTACAACTAGATCAAGAAGTCATCCTTGCTCGCCATAGAGTAGTAACCAGAACCGAGGTGGACATTATCAAATTAAGGAGGGGTCCAAGTGCGGGGGGGGGACCTTGTGCTTTTATGCATTCCACGTCTCCTTTCGGCTTGAGGAAGGAAGCCCAGCTGTGACTGGAAGCTCGAAACGACAGCAATTTGGTGCCGTCTGCAAGCTTGTAGGATCACCTTGAAAAGGCTGCTAGTGACGTTCAAAAGCTCACTCATTTTGGGGCGCCTCAGGAACCCTTTAATTAGGCCTTGAACGTAGAGTAGAATCATAGTCAGTAGAGATTTGTTCTCACGTTGCCAGCTGTCATCTCGAAATCCCTCGCCAATAATTAAACTCACGGGCCTTCTCATCAAGGGTCAACGATCAACGACCAATTGAATGTTTCTGCAGTCCAAATTTTGCTAATTACACGGCGATTATTTGTGACCCTTGTCCCAATGAGAAAATGAGTTCACACGGACGTCTAAGCTTAATTTGTTTCCGCGCATCTTCATCATACGCTTAAGCCACAATGAGCCCTGAGGCGAAGCAACTCATATTGCTCCAGTTGCTGTCACACCTCAAGGGATTGGGTCCACAAAGGTGCTATAATGAGTCACTCTAAAAACAATCGCCAGTTCATTTCTTTAATATTTGCTCATCCTGAGTGATTATACATTGCTTGACTTTGTGGAAATTTGAATAAACTTCAAAGTACCCTTCGACTCATCCGAAATTGGCCTATAAATGCCTCTTCTGCAAATGGGACAGTGGTATACGTAAAGACTGGCCAAACTGCTAATTAGATTAAAAATAACACTGTTCTTTATCTGGTTATCCCGTCTCAACAATTAATAATGCATCTGTGTTTAAAACTCTTTCAATAATTTATAAGCACGACTTATTTCCTCGAAATTCCGGCTGATTCGATTTAGGCTTCCCTCAAGTTGACTTGAAGTTTCTACTTGAACTCCATGCACATGCTAGGCCTGACACCTGAGCCTAATTTCGCGTCTCAGAAAACCCACTTTAGAACTGACCTCTGGAGAAGACTTAATAACAATAAATTCACTAATTTTAGGGTTACCTTATTTGTGCTTGATGAGTGCAATCGGATCTCAGATCGAATTTTGATTTAAAACAAAGTCAAACCTAGCAGAGCACTAAGAACCTCGAGTGACATAACTATGCGTGGCGGGTATGCAACTCAGTTTGATCTAGTCGTTTGCAGGTGCATTAGAAATCTTAGAGTGGTGATAGCCAAAGCCGCTAATTTACTTGGACACCTGTTTTCAGCCGGTGGTCCTCCACCCAATTGACCCTTTAGCCATTTTCTCTCACCCACCGCCTGGCGTAAGAGGAAATGACAATTTTGTAATGCTTCCCCTTTTTCCCCTGTAATGGCCTTGACAGGATTAGTCATGAGGGGCTGGGAAAGCAGAGGGATTGGTGATGACTCATAGACGAGAATGACGTAGGCAGTATTTCCTCTAAAGGGAATTTCGTCGCACTAACCGCCGTATGCACACACAGGAGAGATACGCTCTTACTTAGCCACCACCCGCAACGACGGCATGGCTCGCCTAACGGCATAAAATAAGCAGCACACATAAAATTTTGTTTTGTTCAACTGGCGAGGGAGCATGGTGAAGCTGCGAGGCAGTGAGCCAGGGACTATTGGCAGCGGAGCGATGCAGGACACATCCAAACAACAACACAACCTTTCACTAGATTTTACCACAGTGAATAATGTTCACGGAAGAGGAAATAGATTTTGCTGTTCAAAGTTATCCCCACTAATCCAGCAAAATCTAATTCAGGGCATTTATAAACAATTGAATTTACACCAGGATAGAAGTAGGGTACCTCTGCTCACGACCAATGGAGTCAACTCGACTGGAAAGCCCTAGAATGAAATCGCGCGGTTTAGTCAAGAAGTCAGATTAAAATAGATGTCACAATGGAAACCCACCTAATTGTAGAATAGGGGGCTAAACACGGGCTACACCCAATGTCTTATTTAGCATAAGATACATTTTTTAAACTTCCATGCTTCAAGAACAGCCAAACTTTCAATAAATAGTTGTTTTAATTGTCCAGTCGATGAGGCTCCAGTTGATTTGGTAGCTCATAGAAGCGCTTTTGTTTTGTGCGATTCGTGGGTAGAAAACAATCAAAAAGTATTCAGTTATCTTTAAGCTAACCACTCGCTACTCCGCACTCGTGCTTGCACACAAAACTTCGTTTACGTAACAGTGCTTTTTAGCCATCAAGTTACGTTACCACCGACAACAACTAAACAATTAAATGACTCAAAGGCATGCCGAATCCGTCTACCAAGGTAGTGTTTAGTGGAGTACACCGAGACGCTGTGCACGGTTGCATTCACTGAAAAGAAACTTCGTGAACAAAGCACAATGAATGTTTTACTCTTGGGTATACTTCACAGCTCTGGAGTAGCAACACTTATTGTCACCTGGCCAAATTTGACAACGACAGACAGGCACATGCAGCAGGTTTTAACACGGCATGTTGAGGATGAACTTCATCGAAGTTCACAACTTAAAAAAATTTCCTCGGACGCATTACATTTATCTTAAAAAACATCGTGGAACATTTTTTCAACTTTTAATGGATGAATTCTTCAAAGCAGAAGAAATTTGCAGTAATTAATAGTCAAAAGCGAAATCATCCGTTATTGTAGTCATTGCGACAAACAGCACAAAGGGCTTCAAAAAACGCCTTGTATTTCTACGCAATTTTGCATTTCAGCCTCTACGACGAACTCGGGGAGATTAATGATGCCCTTCCTAGGGCAAATTATTGCTGATTCAGTGCAGGTGCATCACAAAAGTTACTGACCTCGGAGCTAAAGACACTTTTTTTCTACAATGACACTGTTGGAAGAATCTTCAAGCAATCTTTGATGTGGACAGACCAGCGTGCTTGCATAGAAGCGCCTCATCTCCAAAGAACACGAGGGACAGGAAGGCTCGTGTCTAGGACCTGCAGATGACCTGAGCGAATGCGGTTTTACAACATCAGAGAATTGAGACTCATTCAATCCACTTGAGCTGAGCGTCTAAATAGAACTTCGGATGTCCGTTGGTGAGGCCACGATGGGCCATGAGGACTGCCCAGGGTAGTAAACTGGTGCACCCACTTCTGAAAAAATTGGGTTTACTAAGCGAGCGAAATTCAGTGTTACAGATTGCTTGGTCAGAAGTTACTTTATCCGCGCTGTAAAACGTTGCCAAGTTCAAGCCCATTACTGCCGTTTTCGAACTTGTTGGTTTTTACTTACCTCGGAGTAAATAATCCCATCCACGTGATATTTTAGAGACGATCATGACCATTATGCGAAACACAAGCTTTTGTGGTCTTCGATAAATGAAAGAACATTGACGTTCCCATCAATTGTTTTGATATACCAAGAGATTACGTGTAGTCAAAGTAAAGTAGTCAAAGTTTTGTATTTATTTACACAAAACAGGCTGGGGATGAAGTGCTCCCACTGTTTGACATGGGTTCCATGTTTATTCTGTATATGTCGAAATTTAGTTGTCAGTAATAAAAGAATCAATTTAATAGGCAACTTAAGTGTCCGTTTGTCACGCGTTGGTCTCTACAGTGATTAAAAGTACTATTAAAAAAACAACATTCAACAGGCCCATCAGGTCCAAAAGACAAGCTTTCAGATCTAAGGAAAAGCAGGAAGAAGAAGAGGCAATCAAACAGAGAGACGAAATTCCAGTCTGCAATTAAGATTTTGAGAAAGTCACACAGCTTGTGGTCAATAACTGGGACGATATATGCAATTTTTATATCTCCAGGTGTTTGGAAATTCGAAAATGTTTGAACTTGAATTCGCCTTGGCCAGATTGCAGAAGAACCCCAAAAGGCCTGTGTCCATTACACCTGAGAGGTTATTCATCTCAGAAAACCTTTGACAAGAGGTTTTTGGATGGTTTCAAATGTCCATGTCTGATTTTCACAGATGACGGAAGCAGACACTTTTGGCAATCCTGATATTTCTTTTATAATCGCATTATAAGCTGGTGGCTGTCCAAATGCGGTCTGAGCTGACCTTACATTTAAGAGGTAACTTGCATCAATATGTGCACCATGTTAATTGTGAAGTGGAAAGCAAAAATTAACATTTTAATAATGTCATTCTGAAAGGGTCTAGGAAAAAGCAAGTGTTGGAACTGAATCAAAAATATTCACTACATTTATTTGGACAATTATCCTGCTCTTAGGGCAGTCAGTACGTGGTTTTGTCGATCTTGAACTTTGCACTGGATGACCTCCCGACATCGACGATGAATTTCTTCCTGGTTTGGCGAATAATAAAATATCACATATTACCACAAAATGCTGTCAATTCGACTTATTTGCTATTTTAGGAAGCAGTCACATTTTGATATAATGAAAGAACTTGAACCATGTGTCCACAGTAATTAGCCTCTTTTTGTTTTCCTACATGCAACACATTTAATAGGCCAAATTAGGGATATTTTATGTGAAATAGACAGCACAAACTGAAATTCACGGCAAGCAGTATTACTTAATCTTTAGTAACGTCAAATAATATATTCCCTGGAACTGGTAGATTATTGGTCATTGTGGGATAGATTTTGGCGTTCCCAAATGTGTTTGTGTATATAATAACTAAACCATAGACCATCGGTTGCGTCTTTTTAAATTATTACTTAATTTATTTAATTCCTATTTGTGGATATTAAGACTATCATACTCAAAATTTTAACCAATTGGACATTAAGGGGCAAATAATCGAAAGACAGCTGTCTGAGCAATGATTGTAATTCGGCAGCTTATGATTAAAATTGTGTAAAAACAGCTTGTAGCAGGAGCATAGATACGCGCGAACGCTTTATTTTGAATCGCAATTCGTTTGAGCGTCGACAAGTACCCTTAGTCACGCGGACTTATGAACGTATCAAGTTGAAAGTAAGAGAAGGTATTAAAACCATTAAAAAAGATGTAAAACAGTAAAATTACAGAATTGTAAACACGTGTGTATGGAAGTTTGACAAGGATTTAAAGTCCCACCCATATGCACTTGGAGGCATCAAGAGTCGGTTCACAAAGTGCTAATGGGGATAAAAATTTAAATGGACACAAATTTAAATACGAGGAGCAGAGAAACATCAGCAGTTGCGAATATATGGTATTTTCAAAAGTCTAGTGACATGATAAAAATGCTTTTAATTCAAGAAGCTCTTCGATTTAACTGAAAAACATAGTCAATAATATTCCTTGCAAACACATGACATTGGGTAACTTTTTGACTCTATGTATAAGTACATTAAGTCGCAGAGAGGCTACAGAATTATATTACAAACTAGTAAAAATGCAATAAATTATTTGACTAAATCAGTTGTGTTTACTCACCAGGGCTCATTTTAAAATACGTGGGATCGCATGTGTATGTGAATTTGTGAGCTATTTAATCACTTTCCAAGAAGATCCTCTTATTAGTTTTCGTTTTTTAGCAAACCTGTAGTTTTCAGAAAAAAAAAAATAAAAAAAAGTTTTTGTTACTGTTTTTATAGTGGTACGACAATCGACGTCTAAAACAAACGAATAAGTTTAGCAAGTATTTCAAGACAGCCCTATCTACTTTTCTCGCTTAGGTGGACTGGCAATGACTGGTCATTTTAAGCGTTTGCTTTGAGTAGTTTGTGGCTTTTTGTAATCCGAATGAAGTCTTTAACAAAAATACTTTATAAAAGAGGCAAAACAACTATTTGAAATTGTGGGAAATTCCAAAACCCATTCAAGCAATCTAAAGCGCATGGTTTCTCTTGACCTCTTTGCTTGCAAAACTGCTGGGATTATTTGGTCCCAGAGCCAAATTGTACAACTTTAATTAGCTTTGTAATGATCCATTCTTTCATTTGTGGTGCCTTTGTTAGAGTAAAACTAAATTTTTAAAAGTTTCAAACAGTGTAACATATGGCTCTTCATGTCCAAGACGAAACTTAGAGTCATTTTAAGTGGAAACGATTGGAATTTTCATACATTTAACCAGCCATATGTAGCATTTATAGATTATAAAATAATTCGTTGCTGACTTTGAAGTAAACAAGCAATTTATGGTGTCCTATATAACACTGCAGGTTGACAATGCTGATTTTTCGGCAAGCTGATAATTGCATAAATTTATAGTTGCCTAATTTTTTGTGTAGTTTCCAGCCCCATGCTCGAAGTATTCCGTTTGAAAAATATATTATTTGTCGTAATGCAGAAATGCGCGATTATACTCGTTTTGCCATCTGGAAAATTGATTCAATTTTTTAAACAATTTATTCTTATGTATAGAGAACCTAAATTACATAAATTGAAAACCTCACCTGTTTTGTGTTCCTTCTTAGATTATTTCAGGTCATCCATTTCAAATCTGGGCGTGTAGATTAGTGCAGGCGTTGAGCAGCATTCTCACTTTTTAATAGATTTATTAGTATTGACAACTATGTATACTCAGTGTTCAGTGAACAACGAAATGATTCGGCCTGCAATTTTTGTTGTTCATTTTTCCTTAATAGTTTATAAGTTATTTAACAGTATTTGGATCATTTGAAATCTACATTCCACGGTATCGTTTTGCGGACCAAATAAAGCAGACCAAAATATTAATACTTCTAGCTTGTTTTTTACATACAATTTAAATACTGTATGCACCGCTACCACTTTAATAGTATGTTTTAATCTCCCTATGTAACATTTTAAATCAGCATCAGCTATATTAGACCTAAAAGAATTCACAGTAAATGTTTTATCTGCCCATGTATTTAGATGATGGATAACACAATTAAGGTTGATTCAAATCAAGCAGAAGCAATTGATGAGTACATGTTATATCACAGGTAATGGTTTTGACTTATCGTCTTTAAAAATCATCACAGAATAGTTGGTGACGATGACAATGGCCGTACCTTCACTCCAGCAGAGTACGAAGCGTACAAGAAACGTGTTATTCCTATGGTAGGCTGAACAGATAATTTTTTATAGCTAGAGACTGAAAAATCGAATCTACATGTCATGGGTAAATCCAAACGGTGTTGACTGCGTCCTAACTGGGCCGGAGACGCAGTGTTTTTGTACGCATAGATATCGGCAGCATAAAACAGACTTTGCCGCAATCCCTGTAGAGCGGCCCATACCACAGCCATGTTCCAAATGCAAGTGTAAGTGCTATCATTTGATGCCCAAGGCCGTTGGAGGCATCTGTCGTTGCCATTGTAAGCACGAGGCAACAGAGCACAAGGTGGTGAGTTGAATAGTTTTGTCCTAGAATTTCATGTAAACCGTAATAATGCAAGCGGAAATTTAGGTTTATCCTTCATGCCATTACGGAAAGCCGAGCCTAAGTTCTCATCAGAAATTGTGGCCTTGAAATACAAGTGTAAATTCTTGCAAGTAGAGCATTTTTTAGTTACTAGCCAATAATAAATCCACAGACTTGTCCAAAAATCCAAACAAAAACGAAACTCATTTTAAGCACTGTATTTACTGGAGTGAAATGCGCGGAACTAATCTGATAATCTCAATAATTTTTTAACTCTTCCTCAGCGAACGTACGTCAAATATAGTTAAAATCTTCAAAAGTTATTATTTTTCACTAAGTCAATGACTATGAATTTAGTTTAAGGAATTCTGTTCTTCAATAGCATATATGTAAATTAAAACAAGTTATGTGTGCTGTCTAAAACTAGCAAATATTGTTTGAGCAGTATGACTACTAACTGGCTCCCTTTATTCCATTAGGTGGTTTCAATATTTAACCCTCAATATGTGCATTATAATAAATCTAAAAAACGACGGTTTGTACCAGAATGTATTGTTCGGATTTCAGAGCCATCGAAGAAGTCCCAATAAGTGCAAAATAATTTAAGTGGTGTTTATCGCTAATTGGAGTTTTTGAAATCGTTATCGATAAGGCCAATAACCTTAGCTGCGTCATAGCAAAGAGCGCATTAATAAGATCGCAGTTCTTATCTACTTTCACCTAAAGGCCACATAATAGAATAAAATTAAAAACAAGCAATCCCCGGATGCGATATCACGCACGAGATGTAGAAGTTTCATTTTGAGTACGTGGACTGCCGCGATTTTACGTCAGCCTAGATATTTGTGTCATTGATTATCGGGAAATCAATTGACAAGTCTTGAATTCTCCCTATCACAATTGTTTGTCTTTTTTAACTTTGTTAGAATACGTATAGCCTTAAAGTCACCATGGATGGTATGAATGCGGAAACGTATGGACCACTTTGTTTTCAGGGTCAGCACTTGGTTGCATTTTAGGTTCCCCCTTTCCTTTGCACCCGGCAAAATTGCAAGTGTACTGGCTTTAAAACGAGTGTGACCTGCGATTGTGGATTCCCAGCCTACAAACACACGGATGTGGTAAGAGTCCAGAGAATTTTTTCGCCTCTAAAAGTTGACAATTTGTCCTTCTTAGAAATTAGGATAGTATTTTTTGGATCAATGGAAGAGTTCAGTTATTTCCACAATGACGAGTTCAGGGGCATAATTTAGACAGCACATTATATTAATCAATAACATTTTGCCTTTCCGTAAGAAATTTGAAGGTTCTTATTTCGTAAAAACTGCTTTGTTCAAATCAAATATTGTTAACTGGTCGATTCCCGATAAGCTCTCAAGGATTTATTTCAACTTAATCCAAGGAAATACTTATGGACCTGAAAGGGGAATAATGAATGTGGAAATATTGAAATGTACAGGGACATTCATTTCTTCGCCCATATGCCTTCTGCGAAAAATCAGTTAATGGAGTTTTGCTGTGTGTTGCAGTGGTAAAACGAGACGAGGAACGAGGTCTACGGGCTGCCCTCACACTTTCACATTTGAACCTACCATTTGTTGCGATTTGACCCACACAATGGGGTCCTAGCTTCATTTCCAGTATCGACTGTGGCCTGTAGTAGACAAAGTTTGATCCATAATTTCATCTAACAAAATTATATTCAGTTGCCACCTTACCGAACTCCACTTTCACTTTATCTTAACTTTGTCCGGCTATAATTGGGAAACGTTAAAATCGGCCATGCACGGAACACATTGTCCATTGTGGGAAGGTAAAGGTAGTATTTGTTCTATCCTTGATTGTGTTGATCTACAAGAGGTCTGAAACAAGTTAACCTGTTATTCGTGGCAGTCAGAAACGGCGGAGGAGAGGCAGGCACGAGGTCACCCGATTGGTCACCCGTGCGTCTTCCAGGCCATGGGCGGTTTGACGGGGTTCAGCTCCCTTCTGCCGGGGATGGCGCGCATGGACGCCAGTGGAGGTCCCCTGGCCAACGCCCTCTCCCCGTCCGAGCTGGACGCCCCCATCACCGAGCGCGATCACCCGTTTCTTCGAGCGCACAAAGCCATGATCGAAGCATTCGAGAGGGAATTCAACTCCGGTAGCTTTCCTGGTGTCATTTTCGTCTCATTTGTGTTTCATTGGCTGACGTTTTTACTCAGGTCATTGCACATAGGTAAAAATTAGAGAAGTAGTAAATTGAGTAAGATGCTACAGGAAGATTTCCCAAATAATACACTCAGGTTTGTACAGAAAATATCAGCACACCCACAGGCGTTGCTCATCCTTTTTGCTGTATTAAACACTTGGTAGAAGAAATATTATTGTAAATATGGAAATTTCAGGCATACCTTTTTGGGAAAAGGGAAAAATTTGCAAGTAGCTTTAAAAAAGTGGTTCACATAAACTGGAACATTAATGTCCGTGAGGTAAATTACCGGACACACTATCTATACTAAAAAAAGGATCTTGAGTAGATAATTTGTTATTAAGGAGGCAGGGAGAAGCCCAAAGATGATAACGACTTGCAGACGTCGTCTAATAAATGCATACGCTCTGGAGTTTGGGCCATTTTAGACGAGGAGTGATGGGTGTGAGCAGTCAGGAATTCAAGCTTGACTTACAGATCAACAGATCGGATCGGATCAGATCGGATAGGGTCTTCTAAACTTGCAAGTAGATAATCACTAGAGGCTTAGAGACCAGAGCATTCGGCTTAAGGAGCCAAAAAATTGCAGGTAGCTGTTAATTTTTGCTCCCATTACCGTAACTAGGCGGAGGTATAAAAATACGTACGCCAAGACGAATTTTGAGAAACAAATGTCTATTAGAGCTAGTAGTCACTTTTTTCGGGATGCGATAGGCTTTCTTAACCTTGGAGGTAATTTTAAAGTATACGTAATAAAGTTAGCAGTGTGATCTTCTCCACACCATCCACAAATGGATGCAAATAAGTTTATAAAATACCGGAACTATGATATAACAAATGACGATGCCAAGAAGTGCCTGGTTTGCTCTAATTGAATACAGATGCTCATTAAAAAAAGTCTACGAGGGTGGCCATGCTCTGTGCATGTAAATTTATTTATAATTCACCCTGATTGTGATTATTAAAGAGCCTCACGCTCTTCACTCCCCTCTGAAGCGGCATTCAACTCGTTCTCAAGCATTTGTAAAGCGTATTTTATCTCAAGGTCTTCAGTATCCGATATCCTCAATGACAGGTGGAAATTTAGGATGTGGGATTACACTACTTCATTTCATTGTTTCGATTTTAGATAAAAAGGAAACAGAGAACAAATCAGGTTAAAACCGGCATTGAAAGAAAGAGAAGACGCATCGTCTTCATTGTACACAAACCACCTAGTTCAGATAGAATTTGACTTACAAAATGCGCCATGAATGCCCTGTGCAGTCTTTACACAGAGAAAATAAATATCCTCCTGCCTGTTTCAGTGCATTGCATTTGCATGTTTAGAAGAATTTGCGCAAAGGTATGCAGCAGCAGAGACTCACAAGAACTCCAGACACATAACAATACCATTGGATTCAACTCACGGGATAAGGTTAAAATATACCCAAAAGAATCATCCACAAATACCCCGCATTTACGTTAGTGGTAATCAAAGTCGTCTCGGTGGTGCACTCGGAGGAACTCAAAATGACCATCTGTAACTTAGGATCAGAAGCCCCAATATCAATGTTCCATCATTTTAGACAAGTCACTTTTCGCGCTCATGCGTTTCAGCATTTTGTGGATCTGCCTCGGCATTTTTAGTGCATTCGAAAATGCCTCTGACCATTGTTACTAGTTACCTCTGCAGTAGTATTTCTGCCACGTTTGAACTAACCAAGGGAGAATTGAAGGAAAGACGGCCGGTGAACGTTTTGGAGCCCAAACCGTTTAAACACGTCGAAATTATGCGCGAGGCTATCATCTAAAGAGCAATTTCCTAGATCATTTTTTCTTAGACGTGTTTCAGTCGGTACCTCTTTAGAAGTTGGCGTGAAATGAACGAGGCCATAAAACATATTACTGAGACGTTGAAAGGACAGCTGACCAAGAACCGAAAGTAAAGCTAAACTTCAGTGGCCAAAAATCTCACAAAATAAGGCACCTGGACTGTACTTTTACCGTTCTTCAAGAAAAAAGATGACAACTGAGATATCGTCTACAAATTTCAACCAAAAACATTGTGAAGGGTGTTAATTTGGAAAAGTATTCACTATGGAAGAGTTTGGTATCGTGCAGGTCCAATTTTCATGGCTGAGTAAAGGGGAGATTTGTCTTCGACAATTTAGGCCTAGATGGCTACCAACTCTGAAGTTAGACTACGTGGTGAATGGTGACACGAGAACTATACTTCTACATCATTTAACACAACTCACAGCCAAAGGGTAGAGAAACTAGCGCGACTACGTCACACAAGCACAAACAAGGAGCGTTGTAAAACGGATTTTAATGATGGTGAGTGACCAAAGGGAAAGTTCGAACGATCTATCGACACACGCAAGGTGACTGACGAGCTCATCTACTAATGGCAGGTAGTTGTATCTCTGAGTGGGTACAAGGAATCCATCACCAATGTCGGCTTTAACTTCGCCACACAATACTGCGCGACCTAGTCTTCGTCAGACCCAGTGAACGCGCCGCAAGCTCGACAGGGTGGGATTGTTTCTCGGGGCCCTAGATAGACCCATTTACAGGGCAACTGAATGCCAGCAGTAGTACCTTCAGTTGGGTGTAACGATTTTAACAAATGTGCTTGGCTGGAAAAGCTTACCTTGCAGACAACAAACCCACGTAGGTTAATTTGGCCAGCATGTCATCGAAAACCCACAACTCCCTTTCAGAGATCAACGAAACTGTTTTGAGCTATCATCTTAACTTCTAAGAATTTTACAATGTAATACAAAATAAGTATGTACACAAGTATCTCATATATCCCAGTGTTAGTCTCTGTGTTTATTGTGCTTGTGCTTGTGGTGCTTGTGAGAGTGGCTGTGCTTGGACGAGCGACGTTCTTTCCCCGAGCGGTCTTTGTGACTTTTCTGGAACGAAAACGGAACAAATAAAACAAATATTAAAAAGCAGCATGAATTAACAACTAGCAAGTAGACACGTGGAAAAATGGACCGATATCTTCCTAATACAACATAGTTTGGAAATAACCTACAGGCAAAATATTTAATATTCAAATTCGCTAAAATGGAAATGCTTTGGGTTTTGTTACATGTAAATGAGCAAATCCTCTTAGCTATGCAGAAATCCACAAGCCATTGCTTCTATGTTAGAATAAACTATCGAAAACAAGTTGAATTTATGACATCGATTTAAACGCAATCGAAAATCTTTTTTAAGTAAACGTTTTGATACTGGGATGGTGTAAATCAATAAGCCGATTGGATATCTTCATTCGATTCTGCTTTCCTTTAGCAAACAAACAAAACATCCTCAGGTGTCGCTTGGAACTCAGTTAAGTTTTTCGTGTTACCGATTACTTTCGGACCACGTTGCACGTGTATGAAAAGATTTGCAAGCTTACATCACGTTCGACAAATACGACCGAGCTGGAGGATGCAGGCAAGGAGTAGTTCTGCACGGTGGGATTAGTCGTCAACTCCGGTGTGGGTTCTAGAGGGGGAGGTTGAATGAAGCAATTAGTGGAGAACTCAGCGTCACGTTCGATACGAGAATCTAATTTAACCGCCAGGTCTTAGTAACTGAATAAACAGAACAAAATAAGGCGATGGATGTCCACACGAAGACAGCTCGTAGACGAAGGCGAGAATAGTCAGAGAACCTGGAGTAAGTGGTGTGATAAAGGAACCAACACATAATTCTAACCGACGCCTTCGCACACAATTTTTTCCCTTAACTTAGAGCGGGAAGCATCTCGGCAGTATCGAATACAGTGCGTGTTTGTTTGCGTAAGCCATTTGGGCGAAATGCAGCAATTTACGAGGCGCATAGTGGGTCAAAATTAATGCACAAACCCTCTTAACATAGCAAAAGTGATAGGAAGTTAATGAGTTAAGTATAATTAGAAAGCGTGCAGATCAACTGCCTAAGTAAACTGTTGCAGCGAGGAAGAAAAAAAATCCCCTTAAATGGGCTTTCCCGATGTCGAATTGGTTATCCTCGTGCAGGTGTAATGAGATTATGGGATTTTGACAGCAACACTCTTCAATATTGAGGAAAAATAGCATATTTCGCATACTTTGGTGTAATTACAAGAACAGGAAGTGGAAGCAAGGTCAATTAATGTGTGGAACTACGGCCGTGTTAGTTCCTCTTTTGCAATAATTATAAATAATGGCAACAATCCATGTAAAAATAAGAGTGGTGGCTGTGATGTCATCGATTTATGTACACAAGTGACTGCCTCGATGGTGCATTACTTTCAGACAACCGCAGATATGCAAGTATTAGCTTTGACCTGGTTTGGGTCGAATTTTTATGCGGAATTTTAAAGGCCTCATGTAACAAAGAAAACCATAACACGTCTTCCGGAGGCGCGATGCCATTACTTTCTTGAAACAACCTTTCGAAAACACTGCACTTCCCTCTACGCATTCCAGTCACTAACCATGTGTACCAGAATTTAGTATCATCCATTCCACGGACTTAAACAATTTCAGAGACTAGGGTTCTCATTTGTTATTATTAGCGCAATCCGCAACACAGATAGAACCTCGTCAACCACACATCACTTCAATTGTTTTGTTGTTTAAATCTCTAAACAATACACCTTCATTACCTATAATTCGCATTTTGCAACATTTTAACTGAGAATTGTGCTTTGGATGGGAAAGATTAAGCTATATTGCTAACATATTCACGGTTTTCGACCTGCGCTAAACGTGAACTTTAACCTCAAAAAAGCACAACAGCAAGAGAATCAATTCACCGAAGTGGGGAGGAAGAGCTGGTCCGTAGAAATCATCGACGACGGCGGCGGCGGAGGCCTTCTCCTCATGCGCACGCTTTTCCTCTGCTTTTTGCTGAGTTACTTTCGAGACGGCGAACAGAGGCGCATCTAAAGAGGAGAGAGAGAGAGAGGCTGACGTAGTAGGCAAGGTGGACCACAAGACACGAACAGATCCCACAATGAGACGACGCCGAAATGTTTAACAATGCTACTTGCCAAACACGACTTGATGGTTAGGATTGTGCTGTGGGGAGACAGATCTTTTACAACCGTCTCCAATCGATAGGAAACACAGAGGTGATGTAATTGGCGAGAGCTAACGGAACGCAGTTTCAATTTAATGCTCTTCATGTACCACTCTACCTGCTAATAATCATATAAAGAAACCATGTTCGAATTCCAAGATGTCCTGAAATGTAGGGTTATGCTCTACGGCATAGCCTTGTAAGTGGTTAAAGACAAGCAAAAAGAAGATAGTTTGACGGCATAATAGCAACAATATCCTACCACCATCCATTCCTGGGTTGAATAAATGACTAAACAGTTGATGAACTGATAAAGTGGAGGATGGTGGTTGAGGGGCATCAACAGTTGTGGTGGGAGTGGACGGAGGGGGTTGGGTGGAAGGCTCCTGCTCGTCACATTGGTCTCGGGTTGCCATCGAAGCCGGTACTGCCTCCGATGATGGTTGAGGAGGAGGCTGCAGCTCCTCCTCCTCCTCCACCTCCTCGTCTTCGTTATCTGTTTCTTCATCGGAAGCGAAGATAGACTTAAAAAGATCCATCTGCGGTAACCCGGAGTCATCACCTGTAGTTGCGCTTGTCGGAATTGGTGCAGCAGTAGGACCGATTACCCGGGGTGCGGCCTGTTTAAGCATGACAAACAAGTCGGAATCAGAAGCTGCACTGGAAGGTGACAACTAAGACAGAGTACAGTACAGGAAAGTACCACAGTAGGGCAGAAAAAAACGCAGCATGTGAAATTGAGCATCGGACAGATTGCTATGCAGTTTCTAGGGGCACGACGGTGGATGGCCACACGAAAGTAGATAATAACAACTTACTTCGGACGGAGAGGACGAATCAGGCGCACTTCCTTTATTTTCCTCTGCTGTCTTTTGTGGTCCCCCCGAAATACTAAAGAGCGCATCGAAAATGGTGGGTGTGGGGCCACCTGGGAGCTTCGATTGCGTCGTCGGACCAGCAAGAATCTCTTCTTCTTCTTCTCGCTCCTTACTGCCTTCTTGTTCGGCTTCAGAGCCTGAAGAAGTGCCATATTCGTCGCCCTCCTGCCCTTCTCCTGATCCGACGTTCAGATCAAGCAGTTGGAAAAGAGTGAAATCTGTGGAGGTCACATCGTCCCGTCGTCGTTTTCCCCTGCGTGGAGGGCGTCGGAAGCGTCTGTCTTCTGGACATCCGACGAAGGTTGAACTAGGAAGGAACAACTGGTTTATAGAAACAGGTTTGAGTTACAAACAACTTGGATGGAATTCGGTGGATTAAGTGACCTTCCCGCTATCCAAAGTTGGAGACGAAATTACACGCTTTGATGAGAGCATTTACTATAAATTTCTTGAGGAACACTGCAAAAGCTACCCAGTTTTTAACAAGGGACAACACAGTGAGTCGCCATGTGAAGTCGACGCGTGGACGTGTATCTCGCACTAAAACGACCAAAACACCTTCCAACCTAGCACTTCTCACACCAAACAAGTCCCTCAAGGAAAACCACATAAGAGGCAAAGACTCACTCTGGGTAGGGATTAGGGACGTTGACTCTTTTGCAGAGAAGTGCTGCTGGGTGCCAGAGGAGCTTGCGACGTGTGAGAACGCCATAGGAGTCGTTTACGGCTGCATTGTCTCGCGGGTCTGTCATGTCCAATGACTGGAATCAAGAAATAACACGCTTCGACTAGAATAAAGGAACGTTGTGAAAACTCTTTTGGAGTTATTCACAGTGACATCTAAGGACGTATTTATCGTTGCTTCAGACCTCCAAACACCACCTACTTCCTATCGAGGAAGTGTTTCCTGGAATGCATTGGGTTGTAGCGAAAACGTACACGCCCAAATATCGGTAAGGCATACAAAATACACGCCGAATGGGTTTCCACGAAGTTTTTCACAGCAAAGACACGGAACAATCCAACATTGAGCGGATGTGGAACCTCCACATTTGGAATTCCCTTGCAAATTCATTGTCTACTATGGTTTGTGTACAAGTCAGGTAGTTTCAATCGAATGACTGGCAAATTTGATGAGGTGCACGAGTCCAAAACACGCCCAGGTTTTTCGTTACCATGATGGGGAAAGAAAATCCTAAAACTATAGCACATTGAAGTGGCGTGTTCTCAATCTGGACGAGATTCATCCTAAGTTTAAAAAGAAGTACAGCATTATAGCATCAGACAACACACAGAATCAATTCGAAAAGAAAGCAGCGGTTTTAAAACACACAACGAATGCACGCTTTCGAACAGTAAATAAAAGACGACTTGAAGCTTTTTCTTTTGAGAAGAGCAACCGTATTTTAAGTGAGAGGTGGCATACGATCCCGTGGTGGAATACACCACAGCTTAACATTTGACCGACGCCTATGTTGACGGCAGTAGTGAAGAGGCTTACCGTGATTTCTTTCCTGCGCTCTTCCTCCTGGGCTTCGGTCAATTCCTTTGTAATGTCCATTTCACCAGCTGATCGAAATCGCGACTTGAGGAGATTGGAGACCAGCCTCTGTTTCTCGGTATCCAGGATGCCAGCAGACAGGGGCTTTTTGTCGCCTTTGTGGTCGTTTGACGGCCAAGGCTTAGAGGCATCAGCAACAGCGGGAGTATGGGTCAGATTTTTTAAGAGGGTAGCAAACACATTGGCCTCGAATTGCCGAGTCTCTGCACTTAAATCTGTGGCCTCACTTGAGCAACGTTGGTAGGCAACTTCATCTACAAACGTACCAGTGGGCAGTGAAGGGCTTCGTAAGTTGTCAGCTTACTAGCTTTCCCAGAACCATGATGCTACTTTACGGTGAAGAGGTAACCAAATTTTAACAAACGCGGTGACTCATTGATTGAAATCGTGGTAATGAAGCAGCTGTGTGAGTGGTCATTTGCAGTCTGATTAGCAACCACTTCGAACCGTTTGTGTAGACACTAAATTAAACAATTGAACTACACATTCAAGTAATAACCTTTGGTACTAAAATTTGCATACCACTATTCACGAGACAAAACAATGAAAGCAATTAAAGGGCTTACTCACAGAGGAAATGGTGAACTTGCTTAACTTCATTGACTATACACAACTCCATACAAATGTGAGTGCGATAACATGATAGTGCAACGATAACAGTGAAAACTCAAATGGCCAATATGCTCTCGAAACATTTTTAATCTGTAAAAGACAACAACACATTACACCTAAGTAAACCTGCGTTCGAACACGTAGAAATGGCTGACTGTGTTTAATTTTAAGAATTAAACCATCTTAGCTTGACGTGAAACGTCAGAATCGAGAATGTTGAAGATAAAGTGAGGCATCCACAATAAAACCCTACTTTTAGAAAGCTGAAATACTTGGTGCATGAGAGAACTTATTTTCGCGAACATTAACGCGTGAGGGGGAATTCTTTGATGGCGCACAAAGATGTAAAATTGAATTTTACCTAAGCCAAAGTCAATTGAACAGAAATCGCCATTAACGCATCGTGGGCCAAAGTATCCGGAGAAAAAAATGATTCACCATTTACGGCGATTATCAAATACCAAGCTGGTAATTTAGCGGAGGCAAGATTAGTGAAAAAATTTCCTCGCCAAGCCCTAAAGCGCAACCGTTCACTTCCGAATGAAGAAACCGAGTGGGCAAGCAGGAGCACAAACAATCAAAGCTTTTGCGAAAAAAAGTCTGGGAAATCACTTACGCGGGATTCCTCGCCTGACAAGCACCTGGTATGACTCGAACCTCGCTTGTTTGGCGGAATCACTGGTGAAGGGCCTCAAAAGAGGGGCATTGGAGGGCATCGAAGGGGAACTGGAAGACATTGAAAGCTTACGCGCCTCTTCCACCCTCTGTTCTAAATATTGTTTGTCTTCTGGCCGTAGGAGCTTGAAAACAGAGTCCTTCTCAGTAAATTCAGTGGGCTTCGGTGAACCAGGACTATCACCAAGGCACTCAGGGTGAAAGATGGGACTGTAGCCGGGTGGAAGAATAACCGGTTCGGGCATCACAAAGAATTCCGTATTCGCCAGGACTAAGCACGCTCCTGAGTCGACGGGCATCAAGAAGCCCTCCAAAACATTCGACGTGGGTTCCTCCTCGACTCCCGATATCGAAACCTTCGGGACTAGAATCCGAAAAAAAAGTTTACCTATGATCCCTCAGGATCAAACAAAGTGGAAAGAGAAACCAAGACATACGGGTCGGGGGTGTCCATCCATCAATGGTGGTAGCCTTCTCCTTGCTGCGCTTCCGGAGATCGGAAAAGCGGCCGTGCCGTGCAGCCTCGAGTTCGGCCATTTCGTCGTCGCCGTCGTCACCGTCGTTTTCGTCTCCAGCGCCAATGCTGAAATCGTACGAGGCAAGGCTTTCCTGAGCGTAGATGTCTGCATCCTCGGAGTGCAGCGCGCCAACACCAAATGCCTGCCCTTATGCAATGAAAACACCGAGTCGGGACCAGTGACTTGCAACAACCCATAAAATTTGGATCAAAAAGCATCCAAAAAATTATTTAAACTCAAAACCTTTCTCCTAGGATCTAAAACAGGGGAGTTTATTTTGTAAAATCATCGCGTGAAAAGCCACAACCATTGCTTGCAGATAAAAACCACTCTTATTAAGAGGTTTGACAAAAGACAGCAGAAATAAAGCTTAATAAAAACGAGGACGCTGTTGTAAATATTACACGGAGGAAACATCGTGACGGGCACCGCATACTTACCCCTGATACCCTGACGAACGAGATTTGTGCTGGGATTGAAGCCGTGTTCACTGCGCGACTCCGTTCGGCGCTGAAGGGCGTCCACTGACTCCGACTGGGGATCGCGTCGCAGGGTGGGGGCACGCCGACCCAGGGCAATCTCTGGGTCTAAGCCCGAATAACCCAAGCCAAATGTGTTCGCCTTTGGAGTAAAATTAATGACGGCGTAGTCGCGTTCTAAAGCAGATTACACGAGTTTACACAGAAAAAAAACGAGCCAAAATCATTTAAGCAAAAGCTAATTCTGAGCATTAAATTGTTACGAAGGCGATTCAATATAATATGTAGCAGAAACTACATACAGGGATACAAATAACTTGTAATAGGGACATGCAAAACACAAATTGAGCAAAACAGTTTTTGCTGCAAGAGCGCATGACCAAGGTTCCTACGAATTTCCAACTTCTATATACAGAACAATAGGAATGGTCGTTAAAAACATAAAGAATCGTCCCAAGCTAGAGCAGGTGGCCATGTCTGACCTAAACGAATGTAAATTCACAGAATTTGACATAAAATGATACCTGTACACGAGCCGATGCGATTGGATTCATCTTCATCTTCCGTCAATGCGGTTGTAATCTCCTCACATTTCCAGCCCATGCGCCGTAGAAGTCTATCAGCCATGCTGGTTCTAATAGTGCATAAGAAGAAGTTATCAGTTACGTCTATACTAAGTAGTTAGAAATAGGACCACTCAAATGTATTAGATTTGTTGTTTTAAAGAATGAAAAGGGATTGTCAGAGACGTAATGGGCGAAACCGGCAAAAAAACAACATGTCATGTCATGCATAATGTACAGTTAACAATTACAATGTACAATTATCGACTTAACAACATCGTGACGGTAATTCCCTCGAATTAAATTATTAAGGCACTTTTTTTCTAGCTAGTCGCATTGTTAAACGGAAGTATTCAGGTATATGAAAATGGGTGATAAAAGTAGTCGATTTGAATAATGGGCAACACTTAAAAACACTTTAGGTCGAATTCGACGTAAACATTCGCCTTGAAATAAAAATTGAACAATAAAATGGAACGCACGCGCTGGGAATAAGCATCCTTTTCAGGATATCATTAGCATTGGGAATGATGGATTTGCCCCCCAGGGACTCAGAAAGAGTGTTAAAAATATGGCGGTCATCGTATTCGCGACGCGTACGATAATGGCGAGGGGCAATACCAAATTCACCAAGGTCCTAAAGTTCGAAACAAGTCATTTGATATGCTGGGTTGACGAGTCAATCAAAGGTAGTTAATGTAACGAACCTCCTCATCCATGAAATCTTCTGGTCTGGGCTGAGCTGGGTGGTCTGCATTGTGACCGCGATTTCTTCTAGATGAAGTGAATGGTTGAGGCCTGAATCCTAGAAATATGATTGCAAAAGTCATCCAAGTGTAAAGTCGGGATCGAGGAGCGTCTTGGTAATAAATAAGACGTGGGCACAAAAGCATGATCCAGGAGTGACAACTTATTTAAGAAAGCATCATCTAAATTAACATCAACTTATCAAACTCGAAATATATAGAGCATACATTACTGATAATGCATACGATACAAATTACTCGAGAAACCATGCCATTATTAATAAGTTTTCTGAAAAGGCAGACAGGTACGCAAGCACAAATTACAAAAAGATTGGTTCCAAAACACATCAATTGGCAAAAATCTTTTTGAACAGAATCATAGGACGAACTAAGCAACATCACTTACAACATTGTTTAGTAAATATTAGGCTTAATTAGCATATGGTTGTTACGACTAGCCTGTAATCTTTCTGACATTAACCACATCATATTAATTTATATCGCACAATATTTCACGGAATTCTCACGTCAAACAACTCAGGTAAGTTTTTATAAAAAAGAAACAAGTGCATAAAATGTTGTGACGAAAAATGTAAGTGAAGAACGTCACTGCAGATTTCAGCCTCTTAATAGTTGCATAGTGGATATAACGTGCCTTCCTTGGAGCCGACAGTATTGAAATATCCAGCCGAGAAGCCGCCAGTAAAGGCACCATGAAAACGAGCAGGCCTACCACGTTCATTTAGAACGCGCTGTTCATACGCCTGTGGTCTCACCTTTGGGTGAAAGAATTTCGACTTGTCTATAAAATGTTTTCTCATAAAAGTACATATATTACCTGCATCATCTTCATCAAAAGGTTCACCATATGTCACAAACGTATCTTCGTCGTCACTCATTTTACATTAGGCTAATTACCAAGTTACGAGTCAAAAATTCTCGCTTTTGATTGGGTACTACAGATTTCATGCACTGCCAAGTAACTTCGTGGTTAAAATATTTTCAATACAGAGGTCATACATTTAAAAGGAGAGTATTTTTAGTATACTTTTGTGAAATATGATATTAGATGTCAGGCATTCCGATTTATGTTGCAACGCAAAACCAAATTTAGGCAGAATTTGAGGATATTACGAAAATATTTATGAGCTGGTTTAATAAATATAGCCTATATAATCTGTAATTAGCAGTGTGACTTAACAAAATAGATTAACTGCACACAAAAAGACAAAAATCATTCCATGGAGCATGCGTGTGACGATTATCGTCGAATACATTAAATTACAGAATGCGAATCCCATATATTCAAGCGATCTTTTACTTGGAAATCAAATCAACAGGAATTAGAAAAGCGGTAATAAGTGATTTAAAAAAAATTGATAAAAATTTGCAATGCAGTTAATATTAAAGTTTTGCCTTTTTTAGGAATCAGTGCAAGCAAAACAACGGATGAGTGAGTTGAACGCGTTTGTGCGATTTCACCACGTGGTTAAGTTTCATGTCTGTGAAATTTATAGAGGAAAAGGCCTGAGCATCGCAACGATTTACGTAAGAGAAGGCTTTTGACAGAGCTGCTTGCAATCAATGAACAAATTTTCCGGCAAAATACACACTACACAGTGCTACAGTTCCTCACACAGTGAAATTCGTTTTCATATCTCGGTTGTGCCACTTTAATTGCATTCAGAAGTGACTCACAGTCCCAATTTAAACTGGCAAACAGCGTGTGCGCGAAACTAAATAGGCACCAGGAGGACTGAGTCATGGGTTTTAAAATACAATTTATTTGTCGGCAAATGTTGTGCAACTGACTTTAATCAATTGTACGCTTGATTTCAATAGCGTGAAACAAACACCGACCCAGCCCCCTGATGGCAATAACAGCCCGAATTGTCGACACTGCTCAGATGCTTAAATATCACTCCACTGAGTCCACTGGTGTTACATTATGAAATCTGCTAAACGGGAGTTGGTTAGTGCCTGTATCTCATACAGGCCTTTGCGAATGGTGATCAAGTGGTGACTTTATTTCGCATGCCACAATAATCATGACGTCGACCTGGTAGCTTGTGTACTAAGAGGTCATTTGCGATGTCCACTTTTCTGCTCACTCTTGTGGTGTTCGGCTTCGGTAAGACTTCAAATGGTCGTAATTAGCATCTGGCAATTGCACTGAGCTTGGAAATCAATTGCCAAATCCCCTGACAATGCTACATTTAAGTCTACTTAACTTTAGTCTGTGCCAAAGATTTCTTTGATGGTAGTGAAACACTATTGCCGAAATTAAATCAAGTGAAATCAGCAATAACTAATGTGTTAGCTAAGAAAATTATTGTCTGATACTCTTTAAAGTCCATTTTTTGGCTAAATATAATAATGCACCTTTTGCTTCTTCTGCTTGGCAAACCTTTTTCGATTTTATTTACGTCTTATTGACGGGTGAATTGTTCAGATCAACCAAGCGTTTATGCTTGTAGTCGGGAAAAGCGGTAAGAAGTTTTCATTCGAATTCTATTGTGTTATCTCATACAACAATATGGCCTGTACTTTTAAATTCTTTGTTTTGATGCTTTAAGAGCGCTTTTGTGTTGCAAAACCGAGAAAATGGTTGTAATGTAGAGACTGAGCGAACATGTTCTAGCGTTCAATGCATCACTGGGCTTATGTCTATTGTAGGCGTTAATTCAAACACAAAGTGGCAATGACCGTGAACTCAAGTAACATTCTAAAGACTGATCATTACGAAATGAGCACGAGGTAGTTGCATTAAAACGTAGTAGAACAAGCCGATTCACATCGATAACTGTTCAGTGGTCAAACGTATCTCAGAGCTGCAGCCTTTTTTATTTAGATTATTAGTAGGATAATAGTGCACTTGATTGTTTTTTTTATGACATGCACTCCTTGCACAAACAAGTACGATTAAGCGGTTGTTTAGAGTCTGTTTAGGAAACATTTAAAATAGCGCACAGAAATGGGAGGGTTCCTTTGGTCTGGAACCGAATTATGGTTAATTGATATTTAGTTATCGCAACTTCTGTTGTCGGACGAGTACACGCATGGCCTAAGATGATTCAAACTTGCCAATTTCTAGTAGGATCAGTATAATAAACAAAATGTTCCAAAAACACCTTATGCAGATTAAAGGATTTACTTTAGCATTGAAAAACCATGGCTAGGGCGTTTTGTGAATGTGGGGTGTAACGGGTCAAGTAAATTGCCAAATTAAAAGGGGACCATAGCAATGGCGGAAAGCTCACTGGGTTACGATTGGTTCTGAGTACGAGGTTGCGTTGGGCTGATAAATCTCTCCCCCTGGCAGACACCGTGATCCATCAGACTCATGAAATGCTAATTAGAGAGGTGTTAAGTGAAATAAAAGGCTGCACGAGAGACGGCACTGCTTCGAATCCTCGTCGAATTCGAAGAGATCCTCCTAGTGGTCTCGGATAAACCTAAAGATTGGTTGGTGACGAAAAGCTTTCTATTGACTACGACTAGTAGGATTTTATTATCAACGCAGTGGTTGTAGTTGGCATTGTTGGTGACATATTTGCCCCACTAAATAGGCCATTTAGATTAGTTACTAGAGTAGTTGGCCCTCGTAGCACAGTGTATTATCGACTAACTTCGCCACATTTTAGGCAGTGCTATTGGAAGTGAACTGTGAGAAGGCCGTCATAATCCGTGGTCCCAACCACGTCAGGGAGGTTTCTTCATAAGGCCTCGATGATTGCTTCGGTAGCTGTGATGACCAAACAAAAAGCTGTGTGATAAGTGGCAAGAAGAGGTTCTGCATTGAAGGATGAAATGCTAGTTTCGGTTTGGACTAAGAATCAGCAGGATGTGGGGCATTATTGTGGTTTCGTATTTGCAATTTCAGATATTGTGTCGACCAACAAACGTTAGAAATAACAGCTAGATATCAACTTAACCGATATAATTAAAGTTAGTATGTGACTGGAATAGTGCGAAATTTTTGTCATTGCTTCACGCCTTTTGCTTTAAAGTGAAATAAAAAATTACACAGCTGATAGTGACCGTAGCCTTTGCAATATGGATGCTGAAGGTAAGTCAAACCACCACGGTGGGACCAGGACACAAGTGGAAAGATTCGACCCACTCTGAGAGAAACGCCCTAAGCCGTTGCCGTAAATGCATATTCATTTAAAATCACGCGCACGATGAACGCAAATTCCTTCCAGCACTGAAAGCTAAAATCCACGTACAGTGGTTCGAGTCAGTTGGTAGCTCAACATAGGGCTACATTTGCATGCCATACTCAAGGGAATAGTAAAAGGCGACAGGCTGCGAAAATGTGTCCCAATTGTTAAAGCACCTTGAAACCCTCATTGGTGATTCTGTATACACAGATTGGGCTACTTACAATTTCGTCTTCAGTAGAACAAAAAATGAGCACCTCACATGTGACTGAAGTAAGGTAATAATTAAATTTAATGCGATATGCATATGTATTCAATCGACTTCCAATAATCATTTCATATATCCCGAAGAAATTGCTGTTGAACGTACTACTCAACTATAGAGTAAATGATGACGGGTTTTGAGAACATGGTCACAATGAAGACGCTTATTTTGAAGCAATAAAGACACGAATCATCCAAGGCATCTAGAACCTTTACCCAATAGAGGTCTGGAGCAGGTAAATGAAGTTTGCTATGGTGATGTGTCGTTCTTTGGATTACCGAGGACTCAAATGCGCTGTTTGAAGTTAACCATATCAAATCTGTACGCTTGAATACAGCTTCAATTAAAACACGAAACAAAAATTTAAAGTGGTTTAATGACATGTAAATTAGTCGGTAGGAAATGCTTTTCCAATCAAAACAAGTCAACATGCGTTAAATTAACGACTGGAAATGTACTTAATTCGTGATGTCAGATAACTCAATCGACTCGCTAATGGAAGCTACCAACTCATTTTATTAAACAAGAGAAAAACTAGGCTCAACTTCACTTGTACGATGGTGGCAGACCTCTAGATTTTATCACCAGAGTCCAGAAAAGTGTGTTTATGTGGTCCGTCCCCTAAAGGAATTGACTCACCTAAACTATCAAGTCTTTTCAATCGGCCATACGCAAGCAGCGCATGTCAGCTTTTGGTCTAAACGGGTACATATTAGACTGGCTGAGGGTAAAAGTTAGCCTCTTGGGAGTTCGACTAAGCTATGAGAATGAGTTTACTTTCCTTCCCCATCCCAAACTCGCGGCACTGCCATCGAACTGAAAATTTACGCAAATTTCAGTCAAAGGGTATCAATGGGGTTCCAAATGAAATGATAAACTTTGAAAAATGATAGTTTCATTTTAAAATGAACTGGGATTCGCGAATTTCAAAATCTGAAAATAGTTTTGCATCTTTGGTTTTGAGTTCGCTTGCATGCAGTCGAAATCACCTTCATTAGTCCTCGTGGTAAAACGCCCCCGTGATGTTCAGACATGGTTAAGCCACAGTTTGGCGAAGAGATCATTGCTGACGCAATTTAATCGATGGACGTCATTTCCTACACAGCATTACATAAGGGGACTGTGTCGAATTTAGAGACCTGGTTCGAATCTTCTTATCCCGGAGTAAGTGATATTTATATGTTATCTTCGTATTGAAAGCTGGTACTTTTGATAAATTTGACTTAGTTGACATTATCATGTCAAGTAGATGTGAAACTAACTGCCAAACTAAATTACCTTTGAAAACGTAGCCTATTTTCACAACCCCCAATCACAGAAAGGAAAATGCAGTAATAATTTATAAGACAAGCTTTGGTACAAAGCTTAAAAATGTCTAAAGCGAAATATGCATCTGAAAAGACCTGTAGACGCACGAATACACACACTGTCCGCTCGGTGAAGTTATGCTAACCTACCCTGAACTTTCTGC